TCCGTCACGTCTTGTCCCAGCCCACGGCTGTGTCAGTGAGGGGGCGGGGCTACGCGAGGCGGGGGGCGGGGCCAGGACTGGCAGTAGGAGCGGGTCCGTAGTGGGACCGGGCTGTGCCCACAGCGGGGCTGTACTGGGATGGCACTGGGGTGGCACTGGGAAAGCCCTGAGATGGCACTGAGACTGTACTGGGATGGTAGCGAGATGGCCCTGAGGCTGTACTGGGATAGCACTGGGGCAGTCCTGGGACGGTACTGAGGTTGTACTGGGATGGCCCTGAGGTGGCACAGAGGCTGTACTGGGATTGCACTGGGGCAGTGCTAGGATGGTACGGAGGCTGTACTGGGACAGCACTGGAACCCCAGGGAGGCTGGATACAAGCATACTGTGACTGTGGGAGGGCAGTGCTGGGAATGGGACTGGGTCCAGACTGGGACCAGTTTGAGCCCATAGTGGGGTTGCACTGGGATGGCACTGGGACTCCAGGGAGGCTGGATGTGTGCATACTGGGACTGCGGGCAGGCAATACTGGGACATCCCTGGGGCTGAACTGGGCACATACAGGGGGCACTGGCAGGATGCGTTGGCAGCCAAGGGCACACGTTGATCCCGTGGCGAGCACGGTGCACCCCGAGCCAGCCCCCAGAACACCGCGGGGCCCCCCGCCTTCAGCCCAGACAGCTCCAACTGGCCCAGTTCTTCTAAAAATAAAGCACAAAAGGGCGGACAAGGGACCGGGTGACAGCGCCGGCTGCGGGATCTGCTGGAACCTGCCCTGGGGTGCAGCCTGCCGCGCTCCATCCCACCCCCGAGAGGCTTCGCGCCGCCCCGAGCTCCGTTTTCTCCCTCCAACGGCAAAGCAGCGGCGTTCCTCGGGGTTCCTCGGGGCCAAGCGGGTGAGGCGATGGGTAAACTGCCCAAGGACCGAAGGTCATTCAAGTCAGCGACGACTCACCCGACTCCCGGCTTCTTCAAGCAGCCAGAGCCCTGCGCATCCTCCCCGCCCAAGTGGAAGGCTCCGGGATAGCGGTTGTTTTCTGCTAGATATACACACGCAGCGCCTGTTACGACATTTATCAGTAATATTTAGATAGAAAGGGGTCGGCGAGGCTATTCCCAGCGGGAAGTTTTCCTGTGGGAGCATCGGGAGTTCAGCCCCGTCGGGCTGGTAGAAGGGGTTTGGGTGAAAACGGTCCCCGAGCACCAGCGCAGCACACGGAGGAAACACACGTGGGGGGAGTTCACACCACCGAGCACAGCTGGAGAAGAACAGCTGGCTGACCTTAAGCCCAGTCCCATCACGTTTGGGCCCCGCACCGGATGCAAAAATGTGACTTCTCCATTTCAGAGCTTGCTTAGCAGTTTTGGGGTGGGTTTTTTTTTGTTTGTTTGGTTTTGGTTTTTTTTAATCAGCTCTAGAAAACACTACTCCCTGCCCAGTTTTGTTTTCTCCAAGATTGTAGAATCACGGAACGGTTTGGGTGGGAAGGGACCCGTGAAGGCCACCCAGTCCGACCCCCCTGCCAGGAGCAGGGACATCTTCAACTCCAACAGGTTGTACCTATCCTCTAGTTTTTAAAAGCGAAAGTGAAGTCGTTATCCCACCCTCCTTCAGGGTATCAAACACTCTGCCCACACCTGAATTCAGTGACGGGAGTGAGCTGCCCTTGTGTGACACGGGGGCAATCTGTCAGAGGCAGCAGTTGGCCACTGCGTCTGGGGGGACTACCGGCCACCTGGGCTGGGCCAGCGCCAGGCACCTTCCCTGGAGCACAAGGGCGGCGGGAGGATGCCGGCTCTTCCCTCCCGCTTCATCCCTCTCTCCCCTACGCGCGGAAGGAGGTAAACAGGATGTTGCCGTAATGCCTGACCACCACTAGAAAATGATCATAAATAAATCCATGGCTTTGGGTGCCCCCCAAAGAAGAGCAGCGGTACCCAAATCACAGGCAACCACCTCTTCCTTGGCAACTACATCGCTGTCGATTGACTTTGCTCTACGCACAGCGTACAGGAATAATGCGTTTGCCGGACCTGTGTGCTCGCCCCAGCCCAGAGGCGCCAGTTGCACCATTTACAGCGTAAAACACCTTTTCTGACAAAACTCTCACCAAATTCAAAGCAGTCTTTCTGCCCCCTCCCCCCAACATAAGCATTCACACATACACGCTTTACAAACGAAAGGATTTCCTGTAATAAACTGCTTAATTACAAATCACCAGAGTGCTCCGAAGCCAAGGCACATCTCCACCTAAAAAAACCCCCGAAAACCCAAGGAAGGGGAGGCGCGGCAGAGAGAATCCCACTCCGAGACGCGTGTTTATTAAACAAATCACGGGCTGTACAGAAGCAGCACGAAGCTGTTTTAAGCGCACAGAGACCCAGATCTGCGTTATCGCAGGGAACAGCCGCGTACGCTCATGCTGAGGGAGGATAAATTTCCAAGCCAGGGTCAGCGCGAGAGGCTCTTGCGGATAGATCAGAGACGGAGAAAGAACAAGGGGCTTAATAAGCACGTCGAGAAGGAAGACGTTTTCAATTAGAAAAAAAGCTTAAACGAAGCAGCAAGCACTGCAGTCGGACAGATGATGTTCTTGGTCAGTGTAAATCCCTCAAAGATGGATCTAGGCTAAGCTGGGCATGACCTCAATGCCGCTTCACGGGGGAACTCAACGCGGAGCCAGCACTCGAGCAAAGCACCCGTCACTAACAGACTGCTGCGGTTACGTACTAGGTCACTACACTGACACATTTCAGGGCTCTACCAACCTCCCCCCTCTCCTCAGCCACCCAAACACGGGGTTCACAGTCTCTCTCTTCAAACCAGAGCTGGCAGGCAGTCACAGTAGCCCCGAAACGACTGGAGGATCGGAAGGGTTGGGGTTACACAAAGGGCAACGCAGCCGCGTTACGTCTCTGGGCTCCAGGGCTCCTATTTCTTTCTGCCTCCTCTTTCTTTGAGCGCCAGGTGAATGAGGGAGCCGCTCGTCATGTTGTAATAAGCCAGGGAGTTCGAATCCTTGATGAAGATGCCCTGAGGGGAGGAGAAAAGAAAAAAAGTCAAACCCAGTCACGGCAGAAATCTTCATGCTCCTTTCCCACAGACCCTCTTTCCCCCCAGACAGAACCCTCCCGGCCCTACTCCCGAAACAGGGCAATGACAGAACACTCCTGGCTTTGAAAAACCCAGGAGAGAGAGCTCAGTGTCTCAGAAGATGGGGATGACGCAAGAGTACAAACAGACAATATACACCGTACACCTCTACAAACATCTGTAAAGACAGTCACCACCACAAGGGAAGTTATTTAGGCTCCACTCCCCCCATTTTTTTTTTCCCCTCTTAAAAAAACCAAAAAAACATCAGTTCAGCTTCCCTTCTTGCTAAGGGTTAACACATTATCTGCCCGTAGCTGAACTCCCGAGGAGGTAAGTGCACAAAGTTCACTGCTTAGGCAGCAGGTTGTGCCCATGCACACGCATGACTGGAAACAAGTTATTAAAAAGGAACTGCGCCTTTCTAACAGCTCTGGTCTCGTGAGGAAGAGAGAGAGATCTCTTCCCTTCAGACATCTTTTCCGCTGCATTTAAATGTCTAAAGACCCCCAATAAAATAACAGGCTGATTTCAGAGAAAGCCATCAAGCTTAGAGGACCCATCTGCAGCAGTGACGACGTGAAGATCCACTGATGCCAACTACTAAAGGCCTGTCCTGCTCCAACAGCACGCGGTTCTGTAGCCAAGTGTGCTGTACAGACA